TGCAGCAGAAGCTCCGAAAAAACAAACACACACACACACACAAACTGTCCTTGATCGTTTCCAGCTGCAGGGGCGACGGGCCTGGGTCGCTCAGGATGCAGACGGCTTCCACCGAACTTAAAGGAAAACCGAGACCCGTACGACAACACAATCCATGACCCCGTTGGCGAAGCTGGTGCCGCCGCCTGGCTCCGAGCCTCTGCTGCCTCTGCTTGGCGGCGACGTTTCTCCGGATCGACGGCCTTGGCTCAAAGCACGCACAAGCTGAAGCAAAACAGCAGAGTATTGCGGCCCAGCGGCAACAGGACCCTCTCGTGGACGTTTCTCCGCTTCCGTCTCACCCCACCATTTGCCCTTGGGGCAGCCAGCAGCCTTGGTCTTTACATAGGAGAGCCTCCTGTATAGGAGACCCTCCTTTAATCCCTTACACATAGACATAGACAGGAGCCCATGTACGATTTATACAGAGCTAGGACCCTACATTTCTACATGAAGGTTGCAATTCAGGGAGAGCCTCCTTCATAGGAGACCCTCCCTAGTGCCAAGCTGCATGCCATTGCTTGACCGATTCCTGCCATTGCTTCCGCTTAAGTCCCTTGTTCTTCTTGTTCTTCTTCTTGATGTTTTGCGAAACATTGGCACCGTGGATATCATCGAACTCCTTCGGGGTGTAGTCCGGCTTGCCTCCCTTCTGCTTGTAGGGGTTCCACGGCTCCGACCGGTTGGGGTTGTAGATATAGTAGTCGCCTTGCTCGTTTTCAGGGTTAAGGGCTCTGGCTTGGAGCTTCGGGCTCGATGTATTATGGGCCTTAGAGACTTAAAGGATTAGAGGATGCACCCAAACACTTCTGTAGACTGTAACCCCCCGCTACAAATAACTGCTAGCCAAGCTGCACTTTTTGTTGACACAGCCGTCTTTGCGGATGTACCCATACGATTTGCAGAACTGACAGTACCTCAGGTCATACTTCGGCTCATCATCCGGATCCTCGTCCGGCTCGTCGTCTTTCCATGGCTCCCAGTACGACTTGTCGTCGCGACCTCCTCCTCCGCCCCAGCCACCTGAGCCCCAACCGCCAGAGCCCCAACCGCCGCCGCCTGAGCCGCCGCCGCTGTAGTAGCTGGTGCCCGTCGTCGCCATTGCAACGGGCTGGCCGAGAGTGCAAAAGGAACAGGGTTCGAGCCAAAGCAAGCTGCATTATATGCATTCAGCGCACACATGGTTTCACAGCAGCAACATACAAAGCGCAAGTGCTTTGCAGGACCCAGGAGAGCCTCCTCCATAGGAGGCCCTCCTTGCAAGGCAACAAGATCTCGCACGCACTTCTAGCTGCAGCTTTTCACTACACACCAGAGCATGTGCCGGATACTATACTCAGAATGTCTCTAAAGGCCGTGCCCCTAAACTGTCAAAGCCCGCAAGTCACAACCCCCACCCCTCTCACAAACGAAGTTCAATAACCATATACCAAACATATACCAAAACAAAACATTGAACGTGGAATGAAAAACAAACACCGCATATCCCAGCTAGGAGAGCCTCCTCCAAAGGAGGCCCTCCTTGACATCCTTCCACACGAAGACGTGCTTTAGGCACTGTCGAATATCGCAAGGCATCCTTTTCGCCGCTTCCAGGCTCCTTATAGGACAAAATCCTAGCCAACTGATCTAACCAGCTGCCCGGGGGGTGTCATCACTCGAAACATAGTTTGCTCCTTCATGGTAAACAAACCAACGAATATCGCTATGCCAAAGCTCGTGTACGGCTTGGACGGTTTTGCGATCTCGAGGAACAAGAAAAGCCCAAATGAGGTCGGTCGCCCTTGCACAACTGAACTGGTGGATGCTGTCGCCGAAGATGGACCATTGGACGTCCAGCAGCCAGGCCGTGTGTACCTGAGCCACCTGAAACTGGTCTTGTAGATCAAGATATTCCCAAATCCTCCGGCCAGCCTGGACTCGGGCGAGCGATTGCAGCAAGTCTTCCATTGCTGAGTTCTGCAGATGTTGGGCCGAAAAGTCGCTGCGAATATTCCTTTCAATTCACATGCCAGGAAAACAAAAGACGAACACGGCGACGGAAACTGCATGCGAAGCTTGCACACGAAATTGCAGGGGCCTTTCCTTTTGCATCTCGTTTGCTTAGATGGCAAGCATAGTGTGAAAATCATTTGCCTCGCTCACAGACATGATCAGTCAGACCTGTGCGAGGCGACTCTTACACCAATCTTCGGCATCAGCTTCTTCAAGCTCGCCGCTCTCAAGCTTCTGGACACATGCTTTTGCGATCCTGTCCATCTGCCAAACAGGGACGCCTTTTCGGCCGAACTGGAACAGCTGTGAGAAGGGAGCCTGCTTCTGCCGAATGGCCTTCTTGTGCCTGGGCGCCTTGTAATACATGATGGTGTATGTGCGCCGTCCCACACGATCCTGCTGTGCAGCAGCTACGTTCTCCGGCTGCTCCTCCGCAACTGATGGCTGGGGCTCCATGCCACTGTCCTCGTTTTCTTCGAGGCTGGCAGAGCTAGCCGAAGCACTTGCCGTTGTCGGTGCTGCAGCCGGCCTCTTCTTGGCAGCCGGTTTTTTGATCACTCGAGCAGCCGGCCGCTTCATCCGCTGAATTCGCAGATTTGGGATCTCTGTGGACACTGCCTCCGCTGAGCCAGGGAACAAAGCTTTCTGGAATCCGTCTTCGCCTTTTTGCATCGTTGCCATCACCAAAGCCCCACTGGGATAAGCACGAACCATGCAGAGGCGAGCAGAGTCGAAGTACTCTTGATATTCAGCAGACCCGTCTCCGCCCGAAGTTTTGTCTTCCACTGGCAAAGCTGCCGTAGGAGGTGCCTCCTGAGTAGGAGACATGACCTCCTGCGAGGAAAACACTTCCTGCACGTGGGCAGGAGACAGCCCAGTCTCCTCCACCTCTGCACCTGGATCTGAAACTGGCGCCTCCAGGCCGTACTGTGTGAAGATCTGCTCCTTGCTGCTGCGAGTCGCAGGAGCCACCGAAGAGGGCGAGGGCCGAGGACTTGCAGCAGGTTTGGATGCAGAAGAACTGAAGCTGCTTCTGGAGACTTCTCGTGCCACACTGCCGCCCATGCCTTTCAAGAACATGACCACCTCACGAACGGCAGGTGGTAGCTTCTTCCCAGACGTGCAACTGCGCTTGCTGCGACAATGACATACCGCATTCACAAGCTTCTCGCACCAAGGCTTGCAAAGTTCTCTACTGGATTCCGGGAACAAGCTCATGCAGCCAGCAAGGAGTACCTTCACGGTGGGCCTGCTGGTTTCCTTCAAGACGTCCAGGATCAAAACCTTGTACTCAGCCACGACCTCATCCAGGCTTAAGTTCATATACTGGTCTGGTTTAGGGGCATCTGCAAAGCCATTCCCCTTCAATACTTTCTTGATATCCTTTGCACTCGCTTCATTGCGGGCTCGGGCCATCTCTACAGGAGGCCGCTGCAGCCAAAACAAGACTGCAGGAGGAAGTTGCACACGCATGGCATAATCTGCGGGAATGCTGCACCTATCTCTTCCAAGCAAATCAATTGCTCCAGCTCGTACGGACAAAGAGACAGAGAGAGACACAGAAACTCCGGTATCTGTGTGTGTCTGTGTTTTTTTGTTGTGTGTGTGTGTGTGTGACAACCCTGTATCCAAGGGCCTTCTCCTCACGCTCTGCAGCCGTTTCCTACTTACGCTTTACATATAACCGAACTTGAGCACAGAGTACACAGCAGGGGGGCAGCGAGCATTTCTGGATTGCGCTGCCTAACAAAGACCGTCCAGATTTGCTGTGATATGAAGAAGGGACGCCTTCTTCACGTACCTGCACAATTGCTTGTGACATCCTGGTCTTCGCTGTATATGGTTCGTCATCGTATTGGTCCATATTCCTTGTCTGGATGGCCTGGGGCTAAGCCGAGGACCCCGCACAGAACCTTGTCAGTGCGAGTGAAGCCATTCTTCAGTGCGAGCGCTTGCAGTCGTTGGTCCTGGTCTTGTCCTTCGGCACGTTGGGGTTCAGGCTGGTGTTGTGGTTTAGCTAGGCAGGTTGAGGTGTCAGCCACAGACTTTCTGCACTTCCTCTTTGCAACTGTTGTCCATGAAGCCACCTGTCCAAAGTCTGATCAACATTTTCCCCTATGCCCTGTACTCTTATTTTGCTAGAACAGTTTTGGTAGCTTTTGACCACTCGTGTAGTTTTCTCGGAGAGCATGCGAAGCATGTGTGATCGTCGTGACTTTCAGGCTCAGAGTACTTACAAAAGTCCGAAGTTTGTTCATGGTAGCGGAGCTGGGCCGACCCAGCTTCGGGACACGTGGACTTCTTGTGGGCTTGAGTTCAGGGGCCCAGGCTGTTAGGCTGTGGCAGCGTTCCTCTGAGTGTGTTGCGTGATTTCGGTGAACCTAGGCGGTAGTGCCGTAGCTTCGCAATCCCGGCGCCGACCGGACGAGCCATAGCTGCCGCGAGCTTTGTTTGCTTGAACAATAAATCACGACAACCTTAGCAGGAGTGGAGTTGCTGCGTGAGCTTCTCTTGTCTGTGTACGAGGAGCAGCTTTGGGCGAGACCTCAGCCCGAGGGTAGAAGCAGGGAGTCCTTTGTGCGCATTTTGCGTACCAGCTTTGCCGCGTGCGAAGCCAGAGCCCAATCATTTCACACTGTGCCTGAGCTTTACAAATTTGCAAGCAAGTGTTTGAGAGAGAAGGAGTGGAAGGAGAAGTTCTTTTGCGAGGGAGCTGCTATCTGTACTGCCAATTGCATACCGTTTTCAGTGCAAGAATCCTTTGTGCACGCCCAGACCGAGGCGCCGGACTTTGAAAGGTCCCTTGTCGCTAGTCTAGGTGGTTTTCCTCAGGTTTCTTCTTGTGGGAGTTCGGAAATCATTGATCTTGAGCAATCAACGCCTGATCAAGCAAGTTCTTCAGCTGCGTTTCGTGTTCCATTGCACCGCGAAGGTTCCGATTGCACCATTGATCTTGATTAGAAACAATGGCAGAGATATATGCTGATGCGGCTGCTGCCGCAGTGGGTGCCGATGATAGTGATGAGGAGCTTGGAGCTCCTGCTGGGGCATTTGTGCCTCCTGGGAACCCGTTTTCCCCAGCGTCTGCTGCAAGCAGAGCACCGCCGAACGAGGAGCGGTTGATGCAAGTGTTGGAAAACCTGACAACCCTTGTTTCCAACAACACTGGAGCGCCTAGGGAGCAGGCGATCCGAGGGCGCGACCTTGCAAAGGTCCTCAAGGCTCCTGAGCCTTTCCGTCCCAAGGACCGGGATGCAGAGCTTTCACTGTGGGCTAATTGGTCTTGGGAGTTGGAACAGTACCTGTCTTGTCTTGATCGAGCATTTGGCGTGGAGCTTCAGACAATCCGTCGTAGGCCTGCCAATCCGATTGCACTTGCATCCTTGACTGAAGCTGAAGCAGACAGGTCCCGACTTCTTTACGGTGTCTTAGCCGGGCTCTTGCATGACAAAGGCAAGCGAGTCTTGAAATCCTTGACAGATGCAAACGGGTTTGAGGCATATAGAATCCTCAGTCAAGATTTAATGCCGAGTTCGCGCAATCGCATTTTGGCGTTGTTGCAAGCAATACACTCGTGGCCCGCATTTGACAACCGGACCGGCCTTATGACCCAACTCACCCGCTTCGAGAGTGCGGTGAATGAATATGAAGGCTTGACTGGCACTAGCATGTCAGACGACAATCGTTTGGCCGCCGTTCTTCGATGTCTGTCCGGACAACTCAGGACCCAGGCCACCGTCTTGATCACAGAAAGCTCCACGTATCAGGATCTTCGGAATTTGATTGAGCGCTGGGACACTTCCCAGACAAAGTGGAGCACTTCGATTGCCAGCACGTTTGGGATTGCATCTTCGTCCTCAGGCGGTCCCGCGCCCATGGAGATTGATCGTGTCGCATGGAATAAGGGCAAGCCTAAGGGCAAAGGTGACAAAGGCAAAGGCAAGCCAAAAGGCAAAGGTCATGGTGGCAAGCCACAAGGCGGTAAAGGTGGTAAGAACCAAGGCAAGCCAAAAGGCAAGGGCAAAGGCGGCAACACTCCCAAAGGTCCGCCTCCTGCAACTGAGACTCGCACCTGCCGTTACTGTGAGCGCAAGGGTCACTTGGAGAAGGATTGCTGGCTTAAGCAAAAGCATGAGAAAGGCCGTGTCAATCAGGTTTCCGAGGTGCAGCCGTCAGACAGTGCAAGCCAGGCTGCAGCATCGAGCACGGCAACCACAGCCGTTCGCCGTGTGCAGGTCTTTGATCTTGGTGACACGTCAAGCTGGTTTGCAGGCGGCCATGTGCGTGCCGTTATAGCCGAGCCGGGTTTGAGAGCCAAGGCAATCCAGTGCCCCACAGGTTGCATGCCGAGAGGGATTTCAGAATTTTCAGATTTTGATTTTCTTGATGCAATGCGTGACAGCCACCTTGGCTTGGGCTATCCAGTTTCAGATGTCTTGACAATTTCGGGAGTTGAGCGCTTCGAGTGTTCGGATGGCTTGAGCGATTGTCTTGATAACATTTTCAACGGGTTTGAGAGCCGAGGCAATCCAGTCCCCACAGGTCGTTTTGAATTTTACGATCAGTGCAGCGTGCCAGAGGGTCCCATTTTGCTTGAGCAAGATCAGTGCAGCGTGCCAGAGGGTCCCGGGTCCGAGTGTGACCACAGCTTCGACATGTCAGCTTGTGATGCCAATGCAGGGTCGTGGTGCATAGCTGCATCGACCTTTGATCTTCAGGACGAGTCAGACTGCAGCGGGATTCCTCAGTTTGTGTGCGCAGTGCATTCCATTGACATGTTGGTGCACGACTCAGAAGCTCATGAGATCATCCTTGACAGTGGAGCAGACATGAGTTGCCTGCCACTTTGCTATGCCACGCATGGCACCAGTCAGGGCGCCGGAGGCTTGGCATTGAAAGATGCACAGGGCGAGCCACTTGCTGTGAACGATTTGAGAGAAGTTGATTTCGTTTTGCAGAGTGAAGAAGGTGAGCCGATTGTGTGGCGAGAAGTTTGCGCGATTGCACCTGTCACTCAGCCTCTCTTGTGCAAGGGCAAGCTCATGCGTGCTGGGTGGTGGCCACAGCGCAAGCCCACCATGTGTCTTGAGCATGACAGTGGCATCCGAGTGCCGATGAGCTTCAAGGGCAATTCGCTATGCATCAAAGCTGCCATTTACCGTGTCGGTGAGCAGTCTGTGAATCCTGCACTCCATGTCAGGTTTGTTCAAGCAACGATTGATGCAAGCATGATTGATGCACCGTTTGGATGGCAGATGTCAGAGCAGGGTGATATGTTCTTCCGCGGCCGAGGGTCGCACTTCATCGATCCTTCCATCGTTGCCCCTGTTGGGTGGCCATGCAGAACCACGCTTGTGAAGCCGTGCCGAGACGGCTACGACCACTGGCTCCTGCTTGAACACTGTGTGAGCTGGGGTGAGCTTCAGGAGTTGTCTGCTGTGCTACCGCACGGGGAATGCGATGTTGTGTGTGTGCTCACGACTGATCGAACATCGCTTGAGGACATGATGATCGTGCCAAGCAGGTCAGTCAAGGACTACATCAGTTGGAGCGGGCCGCAGCCAGCAGATCCCAATGCAGGGGAGCTTGATGAATATGAGCCCAGTGATGATGGAATGGCAGAGGCTTTCGAGCCCGCCGAGGTGAGTGTGTCTCCCTTGCCTGATGTTGAAGTTGCGGATGCGCCGATGCCGGAGCGCAAGAGTGAGCGAGATGTTCTGGTGTATGATGGCGTCGAGTTGTCTTTGGCATCGACTTTGAATGTCATCAGAGCTTCGTGCAAGGCTGCTCCCAGTCTGGGAGCAAGCAGCGCTGTCTTGACAGGTTGAAGTGTTATCTTGAGAAGCAGGACATTGCTCTGAAGAGTGAGGTTGCTCAAGCAGTCGAAGGCGACAGCACGCGTGTTGCAAAAGGTCAGGCAATGAACAAAGAGCCATCGAAGGCCGAGCGTGATTTGCACAATCTCACTCACTGGCCTTTCCAAGGCTGGTGTGATCACTGCTTGTCCATGCGCGGGCTTGAGGACAGACACCAGTCGATCGCTTTTTGTGCTTGCTCAAAACTGTTTTACATTTGTATTCTAACGCATGATGTTTCATCCTTGTTGCTCATCTAGCCGCAAAGCTGCTCGAGCAGAGAAGGGTCAAGAAAGGCATCATGCATGTCTGTGTGCTTCTTGGTTTGTCGACGACTCATGAGTCTTGGTCATTTTATGTCAGACATTGTATCTACATTCACTTTCCATTGAACTTGCTTAAGTAGCGAGCTGGTATCCTCAAAGGGGGGTCTCGCATGGCGGAGCCCTCGTCCGGTGCAGCAAGCCCGGCCAGTGATCCTCCGAGTTCGTCGGTTAGCACAGTATCAGAGATCTCTCGCCACGTGTTTGACTTGCAGATTCAGTTGAATTATTTGCGAGAGCAGAATCAGATCTTAACCGATACGCAAGCATATCTTGAGGAAAGGATCCAGTCACTTGAGTCCTCGCGCGAGGTTTCAGACAGACGCCTCAGTTGGTTGGAGCAGTTCATACAACATCTGCGTTCGATCTTTAGCCAGCTTCGAGACAACTTGTGATTCATGGCACTTGTTTTGCTTGAAAAGGCGTTGCAGGCTAGGCAACATGCAGCTCCAGCTGCAAATGTTCTTGCGGTGCCAGATGAGACTTCACAGGTGGCGGCTCCATTGCCGTTTGTTCCTGAAACACAGGACAGTGCTACGGCTACCACGCCTTGGGCCCGGCGTGCTGCTCGTCTTCTCAAGCGTGATGCTTCTGCTGTTGAGGCTGTTTCCGTGGTAGATTCCAATGCAGGCGATCAGGCTGCCCTCGTGCCGGCTGTGGCACCAAGTGTGTCTTCATTTGATTTGGATTCCTTCGAGTGGGTCTTGTCTGATGAAGTAATGGCACCAGAGCGCATTTTCTCAAGTAAGGGTTTATGGGTTTCGGATAAGCCTGCACCCCGTCCCGTACTCATGCAACCCTTGAAGCGCACAAAGATTCCTGTGCCGGCCCAGGGTGTACGTCCTACTAGTCTTGCATCCCTTCGACCGTGTATGCGGCCGACAATGTTGCACCATGTTAGTTCGGAAGGTCTTGGGTTTAGTCCTGCTCCCCGTCCCGCGATGCATGCATCACCGGCATCCAGGTCCTTGTTCCATCACGAGCGCTCGGTTGCAGCAGATCCCCAACCTCAGGCTAGTGCATTTGTCAGGCCGACATGCAAGCGTGCCCTTCGCCCGCCTCAGCAGCGCTCTTTTCTTGAGACCCAGCAGGACGTGAGGCAATGAGCAGTGGCAGTTTTCATGCGGGGCCGAATTTTAGGCCTACTAAGGGCAGTGGGACTGTGGAGTTTGCAGTGCAGCATGATGCCAAGAAGCTTCAGTTGGCTCAGGCTTTATGGTTGGAACTCAAGCCGATTCTCTTGGATCACTCTGATGTGCTCCTTCAGATGTCGAGCTCCACGAATGAGCTTTTGCTTACTGAAAAGTTCTTCAACACTTTGGCGCCTTCCACACTCTTGCGGTACATGACGGCAGTCTTAGCGGTTTTTAGGGCAGGGTTTGAGCTTGATTTGCCAGCAATTGATCAGCTTAATCAGGCGCAATTGGTTGATATGCTTTGGGCGACCCACCGGGGGCACTCGGCAGCCGACTTTCAGCCCGTCAACACCATCAAAGCCCTTCGATGGTTCCGTCGGATGCTCAATTTGCCCCTTCCGGATCTCTACAATGGGCTCGTGGCCATGTTGCTGGCCCCTCGAGTTCAACCACATAGAGAATCATATCCGGTTCCGATCAGATTGATGTCATATTGTGAGGTGATGCTCTTGGAGGCTCAGATGTCTTTACAGGACAGGTGTCACGCGGGGGCTTTGCTCTTGTGTGCACACGCCTCTTTGAGGTGGTCGGATTCCCAGCGCATTCGGTGGTCATCCTTCGAAGTGTGTTCCGATTGCATTAGGGCAGAGGCCTTCAAGACCAAAACCACGCGCAGGGGCATGCCGCTGGCAGCGGGGGTTATGGGTTTCCATGGTACTGCGGATATTTTGGAGTTCACTTGGGTTTCAGCTTGGCTAGTTGCGCTTGGTGAGGTCTGGCATCGACTGCGCGATATGCATGGCGACAGCATTGATCCTGACTGTGTCTGGTTTCGTTTCGACGAGGCGACAGGTGATTTTGCGCCCTTATCCTACGCACAGTCGCTGCGAGTGCTGCGATCTTGGTGCGTGGCATCCGGTGCTTGCGCCACTGGGGCGGAGTCAGTCTTCACTTTGCACTCCTTGAAGTCGGCTTTGCTGTATCTTATGCACCTTCGGGCAGTGGGGAAGGAGGATAGACTCTCAGCGGGGCATCATCGCCTCGACAGCGCTGCATTATATAGCAGATCAGACACCGTGGGGGCGCTCAGAGCTCAGGCCGTTGTCTGCACAGCAGTACGGGCCGGATGGCTGCCTCCTGCCCCGCAGAAGCGGGGGGCAGCTCATTCGATTCCTCAGCAACCGTTGTGCACCTTAGAAGCCGTGCCGCCTTTTTTTGAGGTTCCGCCCATTTTCGGTCCAGTGCATGTTTCTGTACCGGAGAATGCAGCAGGAGCGCATGTGCCTTCTGTGGCGGTCGAGCAGGCGCTGCTTCCGCAGGCCACAGCCGACGTCCAGCCTTCGCAGGCGGAAGATAATGCATTCTTGAACGAGCATGCTTCGGTGTCTTCAGATTCGGAATCAGCAGCAGAATCTTTGGGCGCTCCCGAGGAGTTTGGTTACTTGGTAAGCGGTTCAGGTGTCATGCATGTGGCCATGCCTTCATCCCATGGCACTCCTTGCAAGGCAGGTCTCGTGCGTCCAGCTTGTGGCACGTTGTGCAAGAATCTTCAACTGTCCATGTCTTTCGCACCCGGGTCCAGGCTATGCCGTCATCCAGCTTGCCATAAAATTTTTGCATCGGCCGGCTGATAAGCTGCTTCAGTTGTGCACACAGTGTTGCCCTGGGGTTTTTGGCTTCTTTTCAACTGGCTATGAGATAAGTGGGTTGCCAGAGTCGGCACAGTATCAGTGGTGGGGGCTCGGGCCCTGGACACCTTCAGGGCGGCATGCCCGTTTGTTATCCCGTCTTGGGATATGGCATACAGCCGGTGGGGGCATTGCCCTGGACACCGCGCTGGAGTTTCGGGTGGCTGTTCTGGTGGGGACTGAAGTCCTGGACACCAGTGGTGGGGACTGAAGTCCTGGACACCAGCCTCGCATCGCAGATCATGTGTGCCAAATCGGAATAACTCCTTGGTTGCGTGCTCATAAGGCGTTGCAACGCTTGTAGCTGGTAGTTTTGTCGAAGATTCGATCTCTGGGCTATCGGACATGCCAAAAGAACGCTCTATGCACGGTCATCGCTCAAGGTAGTCGCTGTGTGTGCTGCCATGTCTCATGCGTTAGATGTCTCAGGTTAGGTGACTGTGCTGCGAGTGACTGTTGTTCAAAGAACATCAACAGGAAGGTTGTTGGCTCAGCTGGTCATAGTAGGAAATGTTGTGCTTTTTCAAGTCATACCACGAAGTTTCTTCTGTAACTTGTGTGAGCGCTTCCGAATTGATTGTGATTCCATTGCGTTTAGCTTCCACGTTCGGTAAATACACTTTCTAGAAAGGAGCATGGCGCTATCAGAACCCAACCCCTTCTTGGATCTCTCAGAGGAAGCCGCTGAACAGGCCAGCCCGATGCGGGCCTTATTGGAAGGCTCGGGCATCCCGGAGTCTCTTTGGAAAGATGTGGCTGTGTTTGCCCCTGATGAGTTCGGGTCTCTTTCTGATGCAGACATTCAGGAATTCTTAGATGGCCTCACGTACCCATCTCAGCCATCCGATCTGTTGGTAAAGGCCAGGATTCGCCTCTTGTGGCGGAAATGCCAAAAGTCGGGGGCACCCTTGCAACATGATCCTCCCAAGCCCAACCCCGTGGGGAGCACAGGTGCGCTTGCCGATCAGGCCTCATGGTCTGAGGCATTCCCGAAGCGTCTCAGTGGCGAGGCAGTCCGCCAAATGATAAAGGCTTTCAGTGAGAAGTACCCTTCGGAACCATTAAGCCCCGAGATAATGCCATCACCACGACTTCTGTCATTGGTTCATCAGCAATTGCAGGATCGCCGTTGGCGATGGATACCGTGGAAGTTGCGGTTGTCAGAAGAACAATATGACTCTAAGTCTCTTGAGCGTTCCCTTAAGGCCCCACGGCTTGAAAATCTGTTGTGGGAAGAGATACCCAGCAGAGAGTTGCCCACACAGGGCATGGCTAAGAGTGTTATGGCAGAACTGCTTCATTTGCAGGCAGTGGCGATTGCGCTAGCAGACGGCGCCCATCTCTACACCCTGCGGGAGATGAACCGTAAATTTCTTGTCAAGTGTTTCGATCACTTGCCTCGGGATGGGGGGTTGCGAGTTCCAAACAGATTGGAGGCCGAGAACGCAGAGAAACAGCTTTGGCAACAGATCGCGGTCTTGTTCAATGAAGAGAACTGGACGATGGATCAGGCAATACGCGAGGTTGTCGTGGCTCGCAACGAGCTTCACGTTCTGCTCATGCCGAGGGCCGTCGCACCAAAAATTCCATGGCAACCGTGGACGCCGCATCGCATCAAAGGCGATGGCAAGCAGGGGAACCTCGGCAAGGGTGGCAAAGGGGATAAGGGCAATAAGGGCGGTTCTAAGGATGGCAAAGGTTCCCAGCGTCATACCTTGATGATCAATGGCCTGCGAGTGGGTACCTCTTGGATGCAAGGCAAGAACAAACGCCTTCTGTGTTCCGGGTTTCAGCAGGGCAAGTGTACTCGCGAGCAGTGCAAGTTTGAACATGTGTGTGGGGTGATTTTGCCGAACAGTCGCATGTGTCTCGGGGATCACAGTCCGGCTGAGCACAAGCAAACGCCCCACTGACAGGCGGGGTGCATGTCTCAGCCCCTGGTGTCGCCCCAATCGGGCGTTGTTCTTGCGGACGAAGACATGTCGGTCTTACATGCGGCTGAGGCATGTGAACCCATGCACACTGGCCACACTGTTTGCTTTGAGCCACAATCTGATGCTGAGGAGTCCAATTTTGATTGCTCTGGTTTTCCACATTGTGCTTCGTCAGGCAGTGCCCTGACCACGTTTTCTGAAGTCCCACCGGGGCCCGCAGCAGTGGATGCTCCGAGCCCTGTGTTGAATGCCACATGTGCCGCCGTGGCAGACCCGTCGTCGGCCGTTTCAGCTGCATGTGACACAATCTTGAGCATTTTGCAATCTGTGGATTGGCCGCCGTGCCATACAGCAAGGGCTGTCTTGCAACCGCGTGACAATGATGAAACCGGTTACTGGAATTTTGGGGTTAGGCCCTCAGAACCCACTGTCCTTACTTCCATCACCCAAGATAAGCCCAACATAGTTCGCCGTTTGAATGCCTTGTTTAAGGTTCTTTGGCCGGATCAATTTTGGAGTGCGATTTGTATAAATCTCAACCGTGTAGCTAGCCTTCACCAGGACTTAGCAAACAGTGAGGGCTCCATGAATTTGAACGTCTCCGTTGGGGACTTTCAGGGGGGTGCTTTGTGGCTGGAATCAGCAACAGGCACTTTGTGGCGCCAGCCACCAGGCAGCCAGCACTGGGTGAAGGGCGAAGAAGTTCAGACTTTTCGTAATCCCGTTGCTTTTCCAGCGTGTGCCTGGCATGAAACCATGCCATTTGTGGGTACTAGATGGTCCATCACTTGCTACACGTTGCCCCATGTGCCAGCGGGTACATTAGCCAATCTTGGTTTTCCGGAGGTATCTCCGGAGCAACTTCCTCGTGTATCGCAGTCACAGGAGTCAGCTGCCGCATCCGCGGTTCAGTCCAATGAGCCAATCTCAGCCCTGCCACCGGTGGTGGCCACACAGCGGCACCCTCTTTTCTTCTTGGATCTTTTCGCCGGTGCAGGTGCACCACTCTGTCAGGAGGCCGCACGTCGGGGTTGGGCGTGTATTCCCATAGATATCCTACATAACAAGGCATCAGACTTACGTGATGATCGTATCTTCGATGGCCTCTTGAAGCTTTCCCACTCAGGTGCAGTAGCGTTTGCAAACGCATCCCCTCCTTGCTGCGAATACAGCATTGTGAAGCGGTTTGATGGCGGACCGCCACCCTGCCGATCATGGGAATGCTTGGCAGGCTTTCCCTCCAACAATGCCGAAGCCCAGGAGCGTGTTCGATCCAGCCACCTTCTGTTATCTCGGGCAGTCATGCTCTTGCACGCTGTATATCAGAGTGGCAATCACGTAAGCTTAGAACAACCCCGTAACTCTATGGCTTGGGCTGAGCCCGTGACTCAGGCTTTCCTTCTGGAAATTGCGGCGGATGTGATTCAGGTTGCAGCCTGCAGTTATGGTTCGAGCTATGCAAAGTACTGGGCCTTCGCCACAAGTTGGCGACCTTTACAGCAATTGCAAAGTACTTGCCAGCATGCTGCGGGTCATCATGATGCGTTTCACGGTAAACGTGACGCCGCAGGCCAGTTCGTGTCTCGGCATACGGCGGTGTTCCCTCCCATGCTGTGCAATGCATTCATGGAGGCCATTAGCCCGTTGTTCCCAGAGAACTCACATGCTACTGACTTCACGTCATTGGATCAGGCACTTTCTGCATTGCCAATTCGCCCCTTGAACGATTTCCCGACTGGCCAGCAGGATGGTGGCGGCATTTACAGCCAGCCCGACTGGACTTCTCCTCCGGCGGGGTCGAAGGATACTTTCCGCCAGTTGCGTCAAGATATGTGGGGGTTTTTCAAAGAGCATAAACTTTTTGATCGCCTTCGCAAACATGTCAGCCAGTCATCGCAAGAGCCTCTCATTCAGCAGCATGAGCTCCCTGCATTGCGATCGATTTGGGAAGATTGGTTTAGAGCCCAGGGCTTCACGGATTCAGTTTCATGGGAGGTCGCGCCCGACCAGCCTTACTGTCTTCAGGCACTTGAGCTTTTGAGCAAGGCTCTTGATGACCGTGATGTGGAGCTTTGGAAGGACTTGCAGGCTGGGGTGCCAACGGGTGTTGATGGTGACATTTCTATGAGCAACTGTTTCTTGCCTACCCCAGCGCATTTCGATCCAGAAGATTTTGATGTGCAAGTGTGTTCGGGCAACTGGCCTGGGGCCAATGAGGAGCCAGAATTGCTGGCAGAACTTGTGCAAAAAGAGGTGGACAAGGGCTACGTGCACGTCTTCGACTCTCTCGAAGAAGCCCAAGCCAAATGGCCCCGGGTCGCTGTAGGCAAAGTAAATGTAGTGAAAAGTGGTTCTAGAGATCCTCGCTTAATTGTCGACCCATCGGTTAGTGGGGTTAACCCTAGCTGCCACCTGCCTGAGCGCTTTCTTCTCCCCGGTCTCGGTGATATCCGGGCAGTGTATCCCCTGAGGGGTGTGTCGGGCTGTATAGCCGCATGCACATTAGACATACAGGCAGCCCACAAAACCGTTCGGATTCGGGCGAGTGAACAAGGATTGCTTGGTTTTTGTGTGAACGGGAAATACTATTTTTATAAAGTGGCACCATTTGGAGGTTCTTTTTCAGCGTTGTGGTGGCAACGCGTAGCGGGCTTTTATGTTCGCACCGGCCATCGCCTGATCTTCATCAGCCACGTCCTACTTATGTACGTGGACGACGCATTACTCCTTCAGCACAGTTCCGCCATCGAATTTTCCGCGCTCCTTATGGTGGCATTCTCACAATCATTTGGATACCCGATCAGTTGGCGTAAGCTCCAGTTGGGGCCCAAGCTGGAATACATTGGGTGGCAGCTTAATTTCCGTGCAGGCACGTTTTGTCTGCCTGATGCTAAGGTGGCCAAACTTTTGCAAAGCCTGATGCAAGTGCTCCGGTCCGACCCTTGCACCAAGCGGGATTTGCAGGCTCTCATCGGTCTCCTTCACTGGATATTACAGATGTCGCCAGAGTTGCTACCGTGGCTGTGCTGCTTGTACCACGACATGTCTCGTCCCTTGGGCACAAATTTTTCTTTGCATGCAGGCGCCTGGCAACAGCTAGCAGATACCTTGACGGATGACTTGCATTTCCGCAAATCGCCACCAGGGTCGACCATCCCCCCGGGCAGCAAGTTGTTGAGTGCTCGACATGTGGAAATCAAGTGCAAAGCAGACTTGCGCTTGGTGCGGGCCACAGGCAAACGTGTCTGGATTCGTGTGGCGGATGCATCATCTAGCAAGCGTCGAATCAGCACGGTGAGCAGACAGTTCATCATGTTCTGGGTGCACTTTTGCATGCGGCCTCAGATGCCCCGCTGCTTGTCTTTGCCGCCTTTGGACTTCCAATATTCTTTAGCTGCTGACGCTTGTGCTAAGGGCAACGACATTGGGATTGGCGGATGGGTTGAATTGCCGAATCAGCCCATTGTTTGGTTTTCCGAATGGTTTACGGTCCAAGATTTCCGTGCGCTGGGATTGCCCATGAAAGATGATGCTAATTTGGACATTACAGCGTATGAGACGCTGGCACAACTGGCTCTCTTGATCGCTTTCATTTCCATCACTCCTACCGGGCGACTTCGGGTATGCATCCCATCTTGGTCGGATAATTCGGGGACCGAGTCCTTGACGAACAAGCTTTTCACAGTACATACACCGCTGTGTTTCTTTGCTCAGAAACTGGCTACGCGGAGTTGGCAGTCTGGAATCTCTCTCGATTGTACACACATCGCGGGATGTCACAATGATAGAGCTGATTTCTTGAGCAGGTGGAAAGGCGACTTGCAGGAACTTCCTTCCCGGTTCCTCTTGGATCACCGGGTTCGTTGCCCACTCACAGTCTTGTGGGAGGGCGAGCGAGATGTTCGCATTTTCCCGCCAGATGCTAACTTGCTTTGGCAGCCGCCTGTCTCGTCCTTCAATGCACACAGCGTGTGAGCACTCGGCATCGGGCAGGTTCAACATCTCACGGTGCGCGGTCGGCCTGGCCTTCCCCCGTGGGCTCTTGGGGCTCCTGCAACACCGGTGTTGATGTGCACCATCGTCGGGGTTCGACACTCACGGCGCGCGGTCGGCTTGCCTTCCCCCGTGAGCACATGCGTTCCCCTGAGGGCGGTGTTGTGAGATGCAGAACATGCATCAGTGAACGCGATAGGCATGAGTGGCAGGCAACTTGGTCCGCTTGCATACGCAGTGCGTCACTGATAGTTGAGTACTTTATGCTTCCCATATACCTTGCTTTCTCTTCAACCGTATGCGGTGACGTTTCTTTGGGCGGAATGCCCACTCAGGTTCTGTCGGCCTCACGTTTCGGTAGTGGGAGTGCAGCGCTTGCGAGTCCGACCTCTCCTTTGTGGCAGTTTACAGTCCTGGTGTTCGTACACATTCTTGCATCTGCATTTGACATTATGCTGCTGCACGAAGTGTCTTACCGCCAAAAAGGAGAGGATCGAACTGCAACGTGATACACGTGATGTGAATATGTTTATATATGAATTATAGAAATTTGTGAGAGTATACTTTGCGGCTAGATGAAATGTAGAACGCTTTTTGTGCTTGCTCAAAACTGTTTTACATTTGTATTCTAACGCATGATGTTTCATCCTTGTTGCTCATCTAGCCGCAAAGCTGCTCGAGCAGAGAAGGGTCAAGAAAGGCCCCGCCCGCCCGCCCTGTGTGGTGTGGCACTTGTGTCATGCATGTCTTACGGTGCATAGTCTAGACACCAGTGCATTGTACATTGTCTGTACATTGAAGTGCGGACATTGAATGCATACGACTTCCGGCGTACATCCTGTGGTATCTTTGGCTATCTCAATACTTGTTTCATGGTCCTTGCGTTTGGTACCCTTACACTTCCGCAGCCGGTGTTCGTACACATTCTTGCATCTGCATTTGACATTATGCTGCTGCACGAAGTGTCTTACCGCCAAAAAGGAGAGGATCGAACTGCAACGTGATACACGTGATGTGAATATGTTTATATATGAATTATAGAAATTTGTGAGAGTATACTTTGCGGCTAGATGAAATGTAGAACCCCGACAGTCCCGACCGGGACACTCCAATTGTAAGCTTCGACTTCTGTTACACTTCCGTGACCACAGATGATTCAGACCTTCAGCACCACAAGCTCACAATTTTAGTAGCGCACGATACAGCGACAGGTTCAGTTTTCGGACTTCCGGTTGCAAGCAAGGGTAAAGATGATTTGAAATTTGCAGCGATCGAACTGACCAGATTTGTGCAGTCGCTGGGGCATAACACGATTGCCCTCCAGACCGACAATGAGCCGAGCACTGTCGCGCTGCAAAACTTGATCATCGGTGTCCGAACAAGATTGAACTTCAAAACCGTTGTGCGCAATGCTGCTGTCGAGTCCCATGCCTCCAAAGGGTATGTGGAAAAGACGGTTGATCTGCTGCGAGGGCTTTCCAATGTTTTCCTTGACCAGGCCCGTGCCAAGTTCGGTTTAGGCCCTGATTACCTAGGACCCAGTCACCCCTTGATGGCATGGAGTTACGTGCATGCAGCGTTCATCCTTAACAGGTTTGCTGTCAGAGGAGGTGCCACCGCTTTTGAGCGAGCAACCGGGTTCAGGTATTCAGGCAAGCTTGGAATGTATGCCGAGCCCGTCTGGGGCTACCGAAAAGGGAAGCACAAAGGCGACCGCCGATGGCACAGAGCCCTCATGCTGACTAAGAGTCCAAGCAATGACATGTATGTGTTGTGCAACTCTGCAGGAGTGTGGCTCACCAAGTCAATCAGGCGAAATGACAAGCCGTGGGAGTCCGAGCAGAGTCTGGCGATTGATGCCAAAGCTAGGCATCGCGTGCCCAAGCCAGCTGACAAGGGTGAGCCCGATGCTTTTGAAGGTGAGGTTCAGGTTGAGGCGCCAAGAATGCCAGACATGCCGGCCATGGCGGGGATCCCTCCTGCACCTGTGCCAGCTGAGTCAGTGCAACCGCCAAGCGTTGCGGCGGGGACCCCAGCGCCTTCTTCGAGAGCCACGCTTCTTCTTGACCGGTCTGATCGTGCTCCGACAAGTGTTGTTGAGCCTGCTGCAGCCCCAGCGCCGCTTGAATCACCAATGGAAGTTGCTGCTTCTGATCCGCCGTCTCCTGAAGGCGGAACGCCGGTGATACCGATGACAGATGATGATCTTCTCATCGATGTTGCAAAGCGGGCGCAAGATGCTATCGATTTGCAGCCCAGTGGGCAGGCATCCAAGTACCAGCGCATCGCCAGGGTTGGCGCTGAGGAGCTTCCCATCAATGATGAGGTTCTTGAATCAACCCCTGAGTGGGAGGATGCTGAAAGGTATCTTGAGTTGTCAGATGAGGCTGCAGCTGAATGGGATGTGACCAACACTGAAGACAGCCATGCCCTTGACAACGAAGAGTGTCTTTGGTATGATTCGATCCCTGATTTGTCCGAGCAACAGCAAGAGGAGCTTGATCGAATCGCTGATTCTTTCGAGGTGCAGCGCTTGCTTCGCAAAGGCGTCCTTGAGGAGATCGGGGATGAAGTGGACACGTCGGACCACAAGGAATTGTCTTCGAAGTTCGTGAGGACATGGCGTAAGAAACTGCACAAAGACAAGATGATGTACTTTAGACGGTCCAGGCTGGTAGCTCGCGAGTACCGGTGGCTGGAGCGGGACAGAGAGGATCTTTATGCACCAGCAACGTCAGCCATCACCACCAAGCTTTTGCCGTGGCTGTATTGCGAGCTCAGCCGGCGAGCCAGAGAGTCTCCTGATGAGACCGACCGCATAGGAGTGATCGCGCTTGATGTGCGTGACGCTTTTCTTAACGTCCCTCAGGAGCGTCCCATGCTGGCCAAGATCCCTGGATTTGCAAGCCGAATGCGGTTTCTCAAGATGCTCCCTGGACAGCGGGACGGGACAGCCCGATGGCATCAATTCATCATGAACTACATCCGCGAGGAGCACAAGCTCACAAGCTGTGCTGAGTGCCCATCGGTGTATAAGATCGTTGATCCCAAGGGCCGTGTAAACCCCGGGTTGATACATGTAGATGACTTGTGCCTGGTTGGGTTTGTCCAGTGGCTTCTTAAAGAGCTAGTCCCAAGCTTTGAGAAAACCTTTGAAGTGTCCTACGAGGTAGCCTGCATGCCTGGAGACAGCTTCAAGTTTCTTAAAAGAGAGCACATAATTCTTGATGATGGGATCTTGATAAAGCCACTTGCGGACCATGCTGTGAATATGGCAAACCTTCTTGATGTGCCGTTGCATCGGAAGTTCCCTACGCCGTGCACCAAGGAGCTTCTCATGCCGGATGCAAGCAAGGAGCTGGACTCTGCTCGAGCAGCCAAGTACCGCAGCGCCGTTGGGATAGGCATGTATGTGTCACAGGATCGGAGTGACATTGCTTTCACGGTGAGGGTGTTAGCCCAGAACCTTAAAGCACCGACCGAGCGCGGCTGGCAGTTTGCGCAACGCCTTGCAGGGTATCTTGTTGGAACGGCCGGCTACGCAAGCAAGGTGCATGCCAAGGGCGATCGAGCAAGCATTCTTGAGCCACCTGATGCCGAGGAGTGTCTTGATGGCGTTCGACTAGAGGTGTTCTGTGATGCAGACTGGAGCGGCAACAAGCAGACTCGCCGGTCGATGAGCAGCAGCTCGTTCTTTTTGAACAGCTGCTGCGTCTATACTTCCTGTAAGAGCCAACGCTGCGTAAGCCTCAGTAGTGCGGAAAGCGAATTTTACGCCCTGGTATCCGCGGCGTGCGACGGCATCTACCTGAAAAGAGTTCTTGAATACCTGCTTGAACTACCGGTAGATCTTTTGATGAGGACTGATAACAGCTCCTGTCGCCAGATATCTTTGAAGCAGGGTGTATCAAAGATCAGGCATCTTGATGGAAGGTTCCTCTGGGTGCAGGAGAAGACAGCCGATCGCACACTCCGTGTACAGCCGGTCGATGGGAGAAGGAACCCATCGGATCTGGGAACCAAGGTGCCGTGCTCAGGATCCCGCCTACGTGCTTTGTTGTGCATGCATGACTTTGTGTGCTGTGCGGGTGACTGCATAGAGGAGGTAGGCCGTGCAGAGCATGATGCGTTGTTGGAGCAGTTGCAGCGTGAGCGTGAAACACAGAGAGTTCGCAGACTTGTGTGTAAGACGCTGAAGAGCAACGGGATGCAGAGCTTCAGCGCTGCAATGATGGTGATGATGCTGTCGCTTGTGCAAGGTGCCGAGAGCAGTGGTACCAGGCGTGAGGTCGGTGTGCAGACCGATGATGATGCACGGTGGGCGCAGTCGCTGGCCGTCTTGGTGATTTGCACATGTGCTATCCTTCTTGCCTTGAAATCTTTGAGCCTTGGGCGGCTATGGACCACAGAGGGCAATGAAGATGACATCACCTTGAACGTGAGCAATGCCAGCACCTCCACCGAAGAAGTGTACGAGCAGGGAACCGACGGTTGGTGGAATTGGGTTCCATTGACTTTCACCTGCAGCCTTTCAGCGTTCTGCCTGGCAATCATGATGTGCCTGCGACGGGTGCGAGCCGCACTGCATGCCGCTGAGCAGGAGAACGAGCGCTTGAGCAGATTGATCGCTGAAATGAACTACGACCGTATCGCTTGGGGAGAATACCACGAGGCGAAAGTGTTTGTGATTGAGTGCACCTGTGGTGTACCAGTTTTGGGTGGTGAAGAAATGATTTCACTTTTCCCAATTTTATTTTCGCATGTCTCATTTTCATGATGTGCTTTTAACCGTCGCCTTGCATTGTATGCTGATTCCGTGCATTCGTAGGTGTTTGAAGAATCAAGGAAAACATTCATGGTAGCGGAGCGCTAGTGCGCTCTTTGGACCTTCGAGGCCTTTAGCTGTAGCTCGTAGTGCCCCCACGTCGTAGAAAGGCTCCCTCTGTAGTGAGGCTCCCTGGTTGTCGCCATATCGCAAGATAGCAGAGCCGAAGCATCGGCTCAGACCACTGAGTCAGGCCTGTCCGTGTGCTGGGACAGCCGTGAGAAGCTTCGATCCTTGAGGGAACGTGCTATCGAGCTTTATACAGAGCTGCAACTGCAAAAGCCTCGTACGCCATCTTTGTCTGAGTACTCCTTTGGCAAGAGGCAGGTTCAGCTGAGGCAACTGCATCAGCATCGCCTTAACCGATTGCACGTGGCTGCTGAGATCATTGCATACGCCTGTAAGCTGCTTGCACTTGACACACATCTTTTGGAAGTGTTTCTGCGGTATTCCTACGAGGTAGTGCTGCGAGCTGAGGAAGTCAGGTCATACCAGCCGGTCAGGCGAGTGCCCCGATCCTTCAGGCAACTTCGCGTTGGCCAAGAGGTGATTGATCTTGAGTGCTCTTGAACGTGCAGTTTTTCTTGATCAAAATTTTCAGGTTTTCCGTGTGCGCCTGGTTGCCCCTAACTTTAGGCCTCTAACAACACTTGTGTGCAGCGGTCCCGCGCCACAAGTCTGATATAGTTCCTGTATCCTGTAAAGCCCATCTGCTTGTAGGAGTGGTTAAGCCATTCCGTGCTGGTGGAGTGTGTGAGCCCAATCAGATTTACCACTGCGCAAATTTTCCCGCAATGAATCCCAATGATGTTCCCGTGTCAGACTCTCCATTGCAGTCTCCCCCAGCGGGCTCTGAAGCCGCGCCGGCCAGTGGTTTTGGCATGCCTCAGATGCCTTTTGGACCTCAGCCCCAGCCTATGACCTCCCAAGCTCCTGCGAGTGTCGATCTTCAGGTCTTAAGCCAAGTGGTTGCACAGCTTGCGTCAGTTGTTGGCCAGCAAGCTCAGACAAGTGCTGCTGCCCCAGCGCCTCGAGAGGCCAGTGGTAGCTTTGAGGGTAATTACACTTTGGCAAATAAAGTCTTGAAGTATCCTGAGAGCTTTGGATCAGATGATTTTGAGAAGGATTGTGGGCTTTGGTTCTCTTGGAGCATGTCATTTCGCAACTGGCTCGAGTTCGCAGAGCCTGTGTTCGAGAGTGAACTGCGTGAAGTCGAGCAGCGCTTGGACGAGCAAACGTCCATCACAGGGATGCCCGAGGCATGTGCGCTGCGTGGCAAGCGCCTCTGGACAATCCTGAGCACTTTGCTTAAAGGTCGTGCGCTTGGAATCCTTCGGAGCGTGACAGATCGTAATGGTTACGAAGTTTGGAGGTTGTTGGTCACGACATACTCTCCTAAGACTCGCAGTCGTTCGTTGGCCATGTTGTCAGCGATTATGCAGCAGGGCCGTTTTACCACCAAGGGCCAGACTTTGCTTGAGCAAATCACTGCTTTTGAACGTCTTGTGCATGCTTACGAAGATGCGTCCAGCTCCAAGGTTCCCGACGACATTTTGTTGTCGATACTTGTCCGATGCTGCCCCAATTACTTGACCCAACATGTGCATCTACGCATGACCCCTACCACCACTTATCAGGAGGTGCGTGCCATGATGATATCGTATGAAGTGTCCACCACACGATGGACTCCGACCAAGGTCGCCGCTGATCTGGGAATCACTTCTAGCAGTGCTGCACCCATGGACGTTGATGAGGGTCATGCTTTGCGTATCAAGGGCAAAGACAAAGGAAAAGGAAAGGATGGCAAAGGCAAGGACAAAGGGAAAGGAAAGGACAGCAAAGGCAAGGACAAAGGGAAAGGAAAGGATGGCAAAGGCAAAGGTGGTGCTAAGGACGGAAAAGGCAACGCAAAGGGTGCCAATCAGGCTACTTCGAAGAAGGATGTGGTTTGTCACTACTGTTGGAAGAAGGGCCATTATAAGAGTGAGTGCCGGAAGCTTCAGGCTGACCAGAAAGCCGGCAATGTTCGTCAGGTTGAAGGTGCTGAGGCCCCCGCATCCAACGACAACTCCAAGGCCACTTCATCTACTGACAACAACAGTGCCAATGCTGGCGCGCGGCCCAATGCTACTGTGCGCCGCATTGCATTTGATCTTACCACGCCTGACTGTGATGTGCCATCCGCTTCTAGCCATGCTGTCATTCGCAAGATTTCTACTTGTGCCAGTCCTGAGTGGTTCGACATGACTTGTGCAGATCATGTTGATGATATGGTGACGGCCCCTGAGCCGCTGCATTTCGACCTCACCTACAGTGACGAGGATGGTGAGTGGACCAGGGCTTTCAACTGCGCGGCCTGTGCTGAGGCCCCCCTGCCGAGTGTCCGAGCTGTGTGCCACGAGCGTGAACTTGACATTTGCGTTGATTCTTGTGCTGACGAAAGCTGCATTCCTTACAATATGAGTGAGATTGGCTTCCCCGGTGGAGCCAGCCGCACCCTTCAGGATGCTCAGGGTCACCCGATGACCACCCGCGGTACCAGGTTGGCTGTCCTTGACAGCGGCACCGCCAGCTTTCGCGAGTCGTGGGTGATTAGCCCCGTGAGTCAGCCGATTTTCGCTGTTGGCAAATTGTTGCGCCGAGGCTGGCGTATCGTTGACATGCAGCTGATGTCGCCCGACGGCGATGCGTGTGTGCCACTGCACTTTGAACAGAACAGCTTGATGTGCCGAGGGGTTATTCGGGTTGTTTCTTCTTCGGATGTTGAAGTGACTGTCAGTCCCTTTATGCTTCGATGCCTTGATACCTGTGACTACATGTCTGAGGTCACTCCGGGTGTGTTTGGGCTTCGGTTGCTTACTTCACGATTTCCCGACATCACAATGCTTGAGCCGTACGAAGGGCTGTGCTACCGGACAACCATTGTGCGGAAGTCCGAGACTGAACCATGGCATCTGCTTGAGTTGTCTGAGCCTCTTGAGCTGCTTGAGCAAGGTAAGCTTGACCGTGTGATCGATGCGACACGACCCAATCATCCTTTCGACTGTGTGGTCTTTGGGCACCGAACTGTCCTTACTCCTGGTGAGCTTGGCTTTGAGTATGCTGCACCCCCAGCTGGTTCAGAGGCACCCGTGCCCGCTCCAGCCGGTGTTCCACCAGGCCTTGCTGAGGATGATGCCCCAAACCTTGATGCAGGCGAGGTGCCCGGTGTTGAGGTTGAAGCCCCTGCGGATGCGGCTGTGAGCAGCGGTGACGCGCCACAAGTCGGTCCCCGGGACGATGGCCAAGCTGAGGCTGTGATGCAAGATGCCATTCATGATCATGCTGGTGAGTTGCCTGAGTCAATCACCATTGATGATGTTGTGTTGACGGCTGAAACAAACTTGCGGACATTGCGAGCCGCCTGCCAAAGCTTGCAAGTTGGAAAGTCTGGGAGCCGTGCTACGGTTTTCAAGCGTCTTGTTGAACGCCTTCGGCAGATGAAAGTTGCTGCGAGTGCTGCGGTTCATGCTGAGTCAATTCCTGAGGTGATTGTTCCGAGTCAGCCAGCCGAGCCGTCTCCCGAAGCTCGCCGCCAGCATGAAGCAACGCATTTGCCCTACGCTCCGTGGTGCGAGGTGTGTGTCGCACACAAGGCCAGAGACAATGCGCATCATCCGACCGACCCTGCTGAGCGAATCCCAACTATCAGCTTTGATTTCGGCTTCTCAAGCCGTGATGACGATGGACGGCAAAAGCTGTGCTGTTTGTTCCTCCATGACTCCGTCACCGGCTGGAGGGAGGCAATAGCTGTTCCAGGAAAGGGTGGAGTCCATGGCGGCCTGCACGTGCAAGCATACTTGACCGCCGAAGTCTGCCGGCTGTTATCTTTTCTTGGGTATCGCAATGTGCGGCTGCGCTCTGATCCTGAACAGACTTGTCTTAGTCTTCAGCAAGAGATTGCCAAGGTCCGACAGCGTGTCGGTCTGCGTACCGTCACCGGCCAAGTAGCTGAGGAAGATCATGCCGCGAATGGCGGGGCCGAGTCCACGGTTCATGTTCTGCGTGCCCAGGCTGGTACCATCTTGGCCGCGTTCGAACGGCGCACAAAGTCCAAGATCCTGACGAATCACCCGCTTTACTCTTGGGCTTACCGCCATGCGGCCTGGCTCGTCAACCGATTTTCGGTGCAAGCTGGGGGTATAACCTCCTACGAAGCGGCAACTGGAAGGCCATACAAAGGACCTGTTCTGCCATTCGCCGAGACATGCATGGTGCTTGTCAAGCAGGCTCCCAAGGGACAAGCCAGATTCCTTCAAGCTATGATGCTAGGGAAGCTTCCGTCTTCTGATCAGTGGGTGTCAGTGACTGCTGCCGGACGGCTCATGCTGAGTCGCACTGCGCGTAGGCTGTCTGAGTCCTTTGAGCCCCTAAGTCCCGACGTTCTTAAGGACCCCACTTGGAAGCATGGTTCCTTTCTCACTGGTGCCACCGGAAGGTCTAAGGTGCAGGGCCGCAAGCCCGCGATACCTCGCGATGGAGTTGTGATCGAGCAAGCGCCTCCTCAAGCCGAGCCGGCTGTGCCTTACTCCGAGCTGCTTGAAAGTGAACCGATTGAAGGTGGTGTTGGTGCCATTGATCCTGGTGAGATGCCGCCTCCCACGGCCGACGATGACAGTCTGTCGAGTGACTCTAACTCAAGCCAGTCAAATGCTTCGACGCCTGTGCTTCCTGCGAGCCCTGCTGGGCCGCTTTCTCGGGATGGTGCTCCCGACCTTGACGATCGTCCTTCAAAAGCTGCCCGAACTTCACCGCCCGGTGAACCTTCTGCTTCATCTGCACTGCCTCCTGTGGCGCTGGCAAATGTGCCACCCACATCTTCAGATGTAGCTTCTGCAGCCGCCCCAGAGGGCGATGATGAGGACATGTCAGGAAACCCAGATGCTAAGCGCGCCAGGGTTGCAAAGGTCACAGGTGTTGATGTTTGCGTTGGGGATGAAACCTTGACTTGCTATCACAGCGACGAATACCTCGCTGACTGCGCAGGTGACGTGCCTTTGTCAGATCAAGGTGATGATTTCAGTGACGATGAGTTTGGCAGTGATGATGAAAGCCAGCTGCCTCCCGAGTGCACTCCTCCGCTTGAGTTGTTCTTTCCGTTCAGCACCAGCGATCCACAGCTGACTGAGGATGAAATGGCAAGGCTGTTCCATGTTGCTGACCAACATGAGATTTCCCGCCTCGAGCGTATGACAGTGTTGCAGCCACCCCTTGAAGGAGTCGAGTATAGCAAACTGTCAACTCGGTTTGTGCGAAGTTTCCGCCCAAAGCCTCATCCTGTCACTAAAGCTCCTTCGCTGTTGTTTCGTTCACGACTTGTTGCGCGAGAATACAAGAGATGTGATCCATTTCGGGAAGACCTATATTCACCAGCCTCTCAAGCCATTCTGAATCGAGTGCTTCCGGCTCTGAGGCAGTCTTATGGTGCCGATGGCGCCATCTTGCTATCTGCTGACATTGCCGACGCCTACTTGACCGTCCCGCAGGACAAGCCAACTATAGTTACGTTAGGCTATGGGGTGTCTTATGCTTTGGGTTACATGTTGCCGGGACAACGTGCGGGTTCGAAAGGGTGGTTCAATGCCTTCACGACTTTTCTGGTTGATAATGCCGGTGCTGAGTTGTGGCGGGGCTGTGAGGCCCTTTACCGCTTGAAACCCCGTGATGGTGAGCACGACCCAGTGCCCAATGCGGGCATGTTGCATGTAGATGACACCTTGGCGTCAGGTTCGCGGAACCGGCTTGAAAGTGTTCTTGATGTGATCAAATCAAAATACAAAGTGTCAGCAGAGATGATGATCCAGGAAGGCGATGAGATCTCTTTCTTGAAACGGAAGCATGTGCTTTCGAGTGATGGTGTGCTGATTATCCGTCGTTCCACCAAGCATTTGAGCAAGCTTCTTGATATGCTGGGACTTCAGAATGCAGCCATCAAGCGTACCCCACTTCCTTCGTGGAGCAACGAGGACCTTCGTGATGACGGCGAGTCGTTGTCTTCAGCTGATCAAGCTACCTTCCGCAGTGCTGTAGGTGTGCTTATGTATATGAGCCAAGATTGCGGCGACTTGCAATTCGCCATTCGTCTGCTGTGCCAACACATGTCATCCCCGAGCAAGCGAGCCTTCGAGTTGCTGCGTCATGTTGCGCGGTATGCCAAGGGCACTTCAGGATATGCGCCATCGATGTCTCCCACATCTCCGGGTGTTGGCATTCGTGCCCGAGCTTCGAGTGAAGGGTCTTCGCTTGTTGAGATCATGTCTGACTCTGACTGGGGTGCTTCAAAAGCAAACCGCCGATCTGTGAGCGGATGCGTGTGCTTGATTGATTCCAATGTGGTTGCAAGTTCCAGCCGCACCCAGAAGTCGATCAGCTTATCGTCATGTGAAGCCGAACTTCTAGCCTTGACGGCTGCCTGTGCTGAAGGGATCTTTCTTCGTGAAGCCGTGTCGTTCTGCACCCAGCGCCCTGCCGAATTGATAGTGTACACTGACAGTGCTTCCGCTCGCCAGTTCCTTGCCAGGCAAGGACTAGGACGATTGCGGCATCTTGATTTACGGCTGCTGTGGTTGCAGGACCTTGTGCGATCCCACCAATTGCGCTTGAGTGCTGTGCCAGGGCCAGAGAATTTAGCAGACTTGCAGACGAAAGCTTTGAAAGCCGATCGTATCCGGTATCTGCTTCATGGGTTTAAGGTTCGCGATGAGGCCAACTCAGATGAGCTTGTTGGTGTTGCCGAAGCCACGGCAAATGAGGATCGTGCTGCAATCAGTTCCGCTGTGAGAGCGGTTCGCGCGTATCGAGGTCCCGCTTCAAAGCTGAGCCTCTTGCTTCAGGCGCTGACAATCGTTGATTCCTTTACGGCATGCGCGGCACAAGGCCGGGAAGACACCTTGAGCGGCTACGGCCTCCTCGGCTTTGCAGTTTTCGCAATCTTTTGCATGATCATGTGGATTGTCTTGCGATTTTGCCGTGCACATGTGCCTGCTGATGAGATTCAGCCTGAGCTTGAGCCAGATGTGTCAGACCCTGGCGGGGACAGCAGCAGCGAGTTCTCTGATGTTCATGATGCCACCGTTGCCGGATCAAACGATGTGCTTGTGACGGCGATTGTGCCGGTGCCACAGCAGGCCCCTGCCCTGCCTCCAGCGACCGTCACGGTGCGCCATGATCTGAATGATTTGTTTGTGTACTACACGCGTTATGGTGAGTGCATGCATTCTTTGAGAGATTGTCGTGGACTTCGCAGTGCCAATCGAATCTTCGGAGATCCGCTTCATGTTGTGCTTCGCGTGCGGCCTGGACTGAGGCCTTGCATGTTCTGCGGAGGGCCAATCTACACTGTGCTTGAGCGCTTGCGTGCGCCTCCTCGTGTGGCTGTGCTTGAGCTCCCGCTTGGTGAGCCTGAACCCGATGGTCAGAGTGATGCCTCCGATCACTGAGTCGACAACATTCTTGATGTGTAATGCTCATGATGACTTGCATTCTTGAATGCGCGCCACGATGTTGCAATGCCCACACGACTTGCACAACGAACAGATACCTGTCAACACTCTTGCTTCATGCCAGCAGCGCTTGAAATGCTTGGGTCTCTTGACCTAATCCCTTAGAGCTGGTTTGATACCAGTTGTACGGTGGTTTAGCATAGTGCATGCTCAACTTGATGAGCCAGCAGCGCTTACTTGCTTGTGGCAGCAGACAAAACCACTTTGTGTTTAAAGGTATCCTTGAAAGACTCCGCTTGTGCGCTGACGCGCAGTCGTCAGCAGCTGCATAGGTCAGGCAGGTCCGTAGAGGTCAGTGTTTCACTGTGACCAAGTTGAAACCAACTTGGATGGAGATGCGGCCTGGACTGGGTTCGTCCCGCACGCCGGACGTAAAGACACTCTTGCGAGAGCGCTGCGAGTGCACATGTGAGTCAGCAGTTGCGAGGCGACATGTATAGATTTTGAGTTCATGCATCCCGAATCCCAAACATGCTTGTAGGCTTTTGTGTGCCGTGCAGTTTGGAAGGCCTCTTCTATGGCGATCACAAAGAAAGCATTCCTCTTTTCCATGTGCCGAGAATGCTTTGGCGGGGTGTTTGTGATTGAGTGCACCTGTGGTGTACCAGTTTTGGGTGGTGAAGAAATGATTTCACTTTTCCCAATTTTATTTTCGCATGTCTCATTTTCATGATGTGCTTTTAACCGTCGCCTTGCATTGTATGCTGATTCCGTGCATTCGTAGGTGTTTGAAGAATCAAGGAAAACATTCAGAAAGATCGAACAAGAGAGAGAACGCTGCCAATGCCAGAGCCGAACCGTGCTATCTTCATAGATGGCGATGCCGCACGCGGTTCCAACGATGTGATCCAGCATGTGCCTGAGTTGCATGTTTATTGCACTTTGAGACGAGGCAAGTCGTACCACAAAAGCAGGAATTGCACTTGTCTGAACAATGCTGATGAGATCGTGAAGCTTGGAATCGCCACAGCCCGTGAGCGAGGTTACAAGCCGTGCGGAAGTTGCTTTGGTGGCAGCAAGAAACAAAAGTGATGATCCTTGGATTGCGTGTCGCAACACACTTGTGTCTTGAATGCTCATGATGCTGATGCAATGGCCATCTGTACATAGTCAGTGGCACTACCTTTGTGTGTGTGTCATTGACGACCAGCGACGATTGTACATAGCTTCAGAAAACCACCTGCGAATCATTCTTGACCTTGATGTGTGAACCATCCTTGGAGCGTGCAAGACTGTGCACGATACACCATTTTGGTGTCAATCTGGTTATGTCTGAACAACGATTGTGTTGACCGTGGAGCGGTCATGACTCCGAAAGAAAGTCTCGTGATGAGCTTTCAGCGGTAACTAGGCCGCTATAATCCCGGGCATCAATGCTAAGCATGATGCATGATCCGCCATGAATTGTTTGGTTCTTGACAGGAGCGCTTGAACTTGCAACGCCTACGCTTGGGTGAGTCAAGCTTGCATTTCGTCATAGGCTGTCCGAGCCTTTGATGGAGTGCGCGTAGTGTATAGACGACTTTAGATCGTAGCTACGCTGACTTGTTGAGCCGTGTACTGTAGTAAGAAGTGGTCGCTACTGTGATGTATCGTACGCTGTATGTTGATGCGAACATCTTCCAGTCTAAGTCACTGGGGATGTCCGGGCGGGGTGATCAACATTTTCCCCTATGCCCTGTACTCTTATTTTGCTAGAACAGTTTTGGTAGCTTTTGACCACTCGTGTAGTTTTCTCGGAGAGCATGCGAAGCATGTGTGATCGTCGTGACTTTCAGGCTCAGAGTACTTACAAAAGTCCGAAGTTTGTTCAAAGTCTCTGATGTGTGGTCGCTTGAGACCTGGACATCAGGTGGTCCGTCGCATACCGAAACCTTCCTTAGCATTCAGTGTGTAGTCCTCCGGGACGGTGGTGTATGCCTCGGTGCTGCACTCAGATCCTCCAAGTTCGGAGGCGCCAAATTCAGTGTCAGCGCTTAGATCAGTTCAATGAGGAGAGCAGTGAAGCCACACGGCCTAACCGCCTCTTATGGCACCCACAAATTCGGCTCCATGCCTACCAAAACGCGATTGCAGCCAAAGCAGCTTCAGGCACTCACACCCAAGGACTCAGGCAGGAAGAGTTTTGACCGTAACGTTCTAGTGGTTTTTTTCCCTGTAGTAGTTGCTGTTGTAGGCTGTGCATTGCTTTTCTGCATTCGCCATGCTTCCTCGTCCCCGTCCATCCTGTGCACCTGGACTCCGGACGACTGCACCCTCTCGCTCACGATCTCGGCCACGCCCGAGGTCTGCGTCCTCATCGTCTTCCTCTTCCTCTTCGTCGTCAACGCCGGCGGCACCTACGACCCGGACTGCGGCACCTCAACGTTCTACTTTGACTGGCCGAATCGCTGACCCCTTGCAGCCTCCACGACCTATCGATATGGCAGCTCCAAGCACTCTTCCTGATCTTTCTCCTCTACCTGCGAGCCCGTTTTGGCCTGGTCTACTTCCTACTGGCTCAGCCCCGCCTTCCTCCAGCAACGACCAGTCGGTGCCTGCCGATGCCTCTGTTCCTACCTCGCTGCCGGATCCGTCTACCACCCCTACGGCATCCTTGACGTCTCCACCTACAGCATCTTCGACCTCAGCAGCTCCCTTCAGCTCCGCTTGCACGTTGGCAACCTTACGCCAGTGTTTGGCCACGGCAGGCCAACTTGACACCTATTTGCAATCCGATTACTCTACACGGCTGGGCTCCCTCAAGGCGGTGCACTGGGATCGAGTGTATACTGCATTGCTGCAACACAGGCCCTACTTCAAAGCGCTCCCTCATCGCCGACAATGTCAACGGGAGTTACTTTTGGAGGGACGCCATTTTGAAGTGCCTTTCACCCTAGCGGATCCGATACTCACAGTGATGCATCTGTTGGTACATGCCGGATACCATCCTCACAGTGTCCAGTTCAAGTTTACACACGTCGAGGCCCCCCAACATCAACCAGACCAAGCAGGCAGACCGATGCTGATGGTCTCGCTTCCCTTCCCGGCAGCGGCACAGCGTATTAGCGGGGCACCTGCCGTCGCGTATTTCGGTCACAACACGGACCTTCAGGCGGCTTTTGGCATCCTTAAAGAAGGCTGCATCCGCCCCAGCAATTTCGACCCCCTTGACGCCTCTTGGCTACCGAGTCCTGCCTTTTACTCTCGCGCTTCTGTCCACAGTCTCAGCGGAGCCTTACGGGCTGCAGCCAAGTTCGGAGGATGGGGCTCTCCCCGTCCGATTTGTGTATATGGCCGAATCCCCATTTGCTATCTCGACATAGCCAATGCCGCGCCTGCCGACACACCGTCTTCAGTGCTCCCCAACACTCCCGCGGCCTATCACCTGAAGAGCGACAGTGGGGGCACCGTCCCCGAAAACGCGGCGAACTACTTCGTCTCCATCCTACACGGCAACGACAACCGTTGGGGCGTGCACTCCACGCTTGCACAACCAGAAGGCATCGCCGTGTTCATGTGAGAGGACCCACAAAATGTGTGCGTGACTTGAGGTGCGGTATTGCTGGTCTCTTTGTTGTTGCAGCTTTATTCCTCTTTATCCCGCAGCCGTTTTGCTGAAACCTTTACAGCACATCATGGCCTCCTCCGCCTTCACTTCCGAATATTTGCACCTGTTTTTGGTGTTTTTCGAGTCGCTGTCTGACAACCAACTGCTCCAGGTACGTGACGTATTGCTACGAGCCCATCAGAATCGACCGACTTTGACTCCTTTGACTCCGGTGACTACGACATCTACTCCACCGCCTCCGGATGGTCCTCCACCTGCCACAGTACCGATCACCTCCAGTGACCCAGGCCCTTATTCTGGTCAAGCCGCCTATGACTCTCCCGGACCTCAGGTACTTCCTGGCGGCAGTGTGGCCCCTCCGGCCCCTATGGGACCACCACCGGTTCCTCCTTATGCGGATCCCTCCCAGCGCCAGACCCTACCACGACTTCGGAGACGAGATCGCGACCGCCCTCGAGATGAAGAACGTTCTCGCGCTGACGACCGGGATCGTGATCGTCATCGCCGTCGACGTCGTTCGGTATCCCCACTTCCTCCTGACCCTCTGCCTGCTGGACCTTCTCCTCCGATTCCATCAACCCCGGGACATTCTGATGCCATCCCGATCGGCCACACAGTTCCACCTCCGGCTGTCTCCAAGCACACCGGACGACCTCTTGCACCGAAGGTGGATGCCGATGGCACTTTGACTTACGTCCAGGTCAAAGCGCGACCGCAACTTCCTCCTCCACGCACCACAACGGCGACCACCGGCAGATCCCGTAGTCGGCGTCGCCGCCGCGACCGTGCTGACCGAGACCGTGATGATCGTGATGATCATGACCGTTCCCGAGGTGCACGTGATGTTCCCCATCGCGATCGAGACCGTGATCGACATCGGCGTGATCTGAGGTCCACTGACGCCACCAGCGGAGACCAGCAGCGTCCACCCCTGACCTTGTACTCAGTCGCCCGGAACTGAGCAAAACATGTGCCATCGCCGACTCTGCTCCTCCTTCCTTGGATGTTCCGCAGCCATTTTCTACATTACTCCACAGTCCTGCCCTTCCCTGGTGCCATACATGTCTCTCCGACGCTCTGCTCCTCTTTCGTCCTCTGCCTCCTCTTCCTGCTCGACCTTGTCGTCATCCACTTCGGCAACTATCTTGGAGTACTTGGACGTATTGACTGATCCTTTCATTCTCTTCCGGGTGTTCTTACCACTCTTGGAACTTCGTCTACGCACTGCTCTCGTCCCTCCGGACTCGATGATGGACACTGCTTCTGCCCGTGCACCCGCCCCGGACTCCACTTTACGGTGCCTCTTTCCCATTGCTGAACTACATGGCCAGGCTCTGGCGTTCCGGACGGAACGCGACTATCACCTTCACTATGCCCTCGCCGAGATCACATTCCATCCCGGTGTCGTTGCTTCTTTGATGATGACATGCTCGCGAGCATATTACGCAGTACGAGCCCTTCTTCGTGATCGTGGACTTCAATATGCCTTCTACGTGGAACGCACACCCGATCTTCCACGGTCACATTCTTCTCGACCGTGCCTCTCCATCTTCCATCCGTTTTGTCCACAACAAGTCCGCGGCATGGCGTTACACCGTGGAATTCAGCATTGGGTCTTCATTCCTTCCAGCTACCAGGAGTTGCCTCTGATCCGGCTCGGACGTTTCTCATGATGCGCGCTCAGGACCTGGACAAAGGGACTATTTGCTGCTGCAGCAGTTCTTAAGCGAGCTCACTTCCCGCAGCCGTTTTATACTTTGGCTCCTTTCGCCTGCTTCCTCACGCCTCCTCCCCTTCTTCCTCCTCCTTATGCCCCCACACCGCTCTCGCACTCCACCTTCCCGACGACATCGTCTACCTGGACGTGATGAACCTTCTCGAAACGATCCTTATTCGTCCCAGCGGAACATGACGACGCAACCTCCCAGGTCGGGGTCCTTTCGGGACAATCGAGCACACAGCCGTATGTCTCCTCCTCGGTCCCGACGACATCGAAGCCGAACCCCGGTGTCCAACACGCCGGAACATCACCGCCACCACCGCCGTGACACTTCGATCAGGCAACATCGACATCGAGATCCTGATGCTGATTCTCCCCCACGACGTCGCCTACACTATTCCTCGCCACGGCCATCGTCTCGACGACATCCTCCTCCTTCCGACTCTGACCGACGGGTACCACACTCTGACAGCCGGGTGCACTCCACTCCTCCACCTCATGATGATCCATCCCACTATTCTTCCTCCGGTGCACCTCCTGCTCGACGTGAACCTCGCCGTGATCGCCGAGACCATCCTTCCGCTCGAGATCACCGCCTACTCCAGGAACGCTACGAAGACATCCATCCGCTCGGCGCCAACTGGGAAACCACCGACCTCTTCCTTGACGCGAACCCAGACCGCGGTTTCCCTTTACCGCGCAATGTCGTAGACACTGCCTTTACCAGGCGTCTCGGCATCGCCGAAATGCCTATTCATCTCGTACCTGTTGTGTCGCTCACCCCGAATGCGGGGCAAGCATGGATCGTCCGCCTGCTGGCTGCTGGCCGCCCTCTTGTGATCGAAATTTTCAGGACGCGACAGGAAGCGCTTTTGGCTTCATTCATTATTCGGACGCTCCGCAAGTCCTCGGACCAATACGACATCTCTGATGTCCTTAAACAATTACACGACAACCACACCGTTGCTACCGAAGGCCCACGCGACCTTACCATATGGGCGTATCGCGCTCAGCTCTTGCAACACGTGGCGGACAAGGTTGCTGCGACTATTTAATGATCTACTACCCCACGGTGAAGTTGCAGCCGGAGGACGACCTGGACTTCTTGAACAAATTCAACGATTGCAGCAGGAGAACGACCAGCTAAGGTTGCTTGCCGCTGGCACAGGCGCCGAGACCTTACCTCATCCACTTGCAGAACCGAACCCTCCACCAGACGCTGCCACCAGACTCCGGGACTCCTTCTCCAAGTTCGAACGACTTGATCGCCGCGCTGTCCTCGCATCCAACTCCCCCAAATCCGCCTCTACCACCGATGTGAAGAAATGGCTCGACGGTCTCATCAAGCTCCATCGCGAATCCTACACACCGAAGCTCACCGAGTTACAGGGCATCTTGAAAGAGGCCGCTTCGGGTGTCCTGCCGCCCCTCGACAAAACCCTTGTGGATTGGGGATTGTCTGTCACTTTGGCTTCCAAGTTGTCGGAGGTCAACCAGCAAAAGCTATTGGCGATGACTGCGGTCCTCTCCACTTTCCAGCCAGCAGCTGTTCCTGCCACTGCTCCCAGCACATGAGCGTGTTCGTCCTCACTATATTTCAGCTGGCACATGGTACAAACTGTTGCCATCGCGGGGGTGGCTGCATTCGAACGGAAATAGTTTGCAGCGTTGCAATGCCTGCCTGGACGTTGATTCACATGTTCGCGCCTTCCGCAGCCGTTTCCTTAAGGTTTTTGACATTAATACCATGCCGCTCCAGCTCTCCGTACTCCCTTGCGGATTTGTGCACCAGCTCTTGGACTACCACCAGAACTTGTTCGCGTACGCCGTGGCCGCGACTCACCCCCCTATTGATGGCAGTCCAGGAAATTCTATTCGGCAGACTACACGACATCCCGATGACGTCATGATCCGTGATCGCCTGGCCGAGCTCATTGACCGTCACACTAACCTCTTCTACGGGTTCTTTCGCGTTGGAGACAACTATTATCATGGCCTATTTGTTCTCACCTTCGACATCGGCGTCATCTCGGCACTTTCGGCCACCAACCGCCATCTCAATGATGCACTCGCCATCTACCTCCTCGCTCGCTCCATGACCACAGTTGCCCTTCTACCCGCGGATCGTTCTGAACCTCCTGATCTTCTTCGTCGGCGTCTTCCACTTGGCTCGGAGTTCTCCAGCATTGTGCGGTTCTCCTCATTGACGTACCGCTTGGGTATTCCCTCCTATTTGACTGAGTTCGATTGCACGGAGGTCCCCCGCAGTCGTCTGTTCCGATTACGACTCCATGCCTTTGGCACCGCCCTGCAGAGCAGACACCTACAGGACACCTCCTGGAGCGGATGATCGTGTGACACAAAGAGTCCTTACTTGCTCTTCCTTTTCATCACTGACCTCCTACAATTTGAGTTGTTACCCGATGTCCTCTACCCGCAGCCGTTTCAGTTACTTCGTTTACCCTTCATCCACTTGCTCGTCACACCATGGCGAACTTGGCACCGGAGACGCTGGTGGACCTTCCTACTACCTCTGAATACCGCGAATGGGTGGCAGCGGCTAGAGAATCTCGCAGGGATCGCGCTACACCGACCCCATCGACCACCTATGTCTCCCTATCCTCTGGAGACAACCGTACGATTTGCACCTTCACCGACGTCCCGGTCAATTTTTGGCTTTCCCCCTTCATCTTGATGCGAGGCTGGTTGGTTCCGTTCTCCTCGACCTCACCGCGACCGCACATCCACCAGATTATGCACGAGGTGATGACGGAGGCCTGTAACATGTATTATGAGGTTGTCCAGATCGCGGATAATTCTTACCATGGGTTGTTCGAGATCGTACTCGACTTGTATCTCACCACGCAGCTCCTCCGGGTCAACCGCATCATGAACTACGAAGTCATTCATTTCTTGCACGGGCGCAACATCACACACTTCATCACTCGGGACGTTCATCAACCTCGACCCGCTCAACTACTACCAGGTGAACCCACTCCCCGTATGCGAGGACCCTTTCTGCCTCCACGCACCCTACCCATCGGCACCACCTACGCTGACCTGGTCCGGTTTTCAGATGCGGTTCTGACGTTGATGATCCCTCATGAAATTCACACTTGGGAGGCCATGGAGCTGTTGCAAACCCAGCTACGGTGTCTACGCGCCCGCTCCTATCTGTTGTTGGGACAATGCCTTCATTACCACCGCCGCGTGTTCTTCACCACAGCTTCCG